CATATAGGTATGTGTATGTCTATATATATATTTATGTATGTTTGTAAAAAATATACATACCTACATATATACATATGTGTATGAATATTTATTTATATGTGCAAAGTTTTTGACAGACATAATTGTGGTTAATCCAACCACCAAAGATTTTTTTTGTTTGTTGCATATGAATGGCTCCACATGTGGTCAGTTGGGTTTATCAGTAGCCCTTGTGACCAATCCTGATTTCCCCATTTCTTGAATATGCAAGAGAATGTGTCTTTCTCTGTAATACAATACTGTTATTATTGTTATTGATGTTATGATTATTAACCCATTCGCCACACGTGGCAAGAATAGATGCCATACCCACTTTGATACACGTTTATTTATTGTATTTACACATAGATGGCTCTACAAGTTCTTAATCACCAAATAGCCAGTTATCAAGAACTACCTATTTCACCTGTTTACCTTTTCCTTCACTTTAGGAAAGTTTTTTATGTATCATTTCATTGTCAAAAATATTCTAATGACAATTCAATAATCATAACATCAATAACAATAATAACAGTAACGAAAGCAATGGTATCAATTTTCCCACCAATTCAATGAATGGGAAAATCAGGGTCGGTAACTAAGGCCTACTGATAGACTCCTTGCCGGCTGAGCACATGTGGAGCCATCTGTATGTAACAAAATTCACCAAAAACTACAGGGGACAGAACATCAATCCTTGGTGAATGTGTTAAATTGTTAAGACCTTGGTAACATTTAAGACAATGAAATAATACAAAAGACCCTTTCCAGAGGTCAAGGAAAAGGGTAAACAGGTGAGATAGATAGGATTGATAACTGATTCCTTGGTGAGTAAGTACTTGTAGAGCCATCTATTAATTCAATAAATAAACTTATATTACAGTGGGCATGGCATGTATTCTTGCCATCCATGCCAATTGGGTTAATAATACTGTTAGCATGATAAATGTGCACTACAGCTGTTGACCATATTTTTTTTTTCAGATATGAAAAGTATGTGGTGAATGGAATCCCAAATTATGCAGTTGCAGGTTATACCACTGTATATGAGTATTATGCATATCCAGCCAACATCAGACCTCGCATTTCACAAATGTTGGTTCTTCCTCCATTTCAACGTTTGGGCTTGGGAGCACAGATGTTAGACATCATATACAACCATTACAAGAATAATGCAAAAGTTACAGATATCACAGGTAAGAGTATTGCTTTATTGGTATACAGTTAGGTACAAATATAAAGGCTGCAGCATAGCCATGCTAGTCCCATGCAGGTGTTTTGTTAACCTGGTAATAATTATTTTGTGTGCTTGACAAGAACTGAATATACGCTTGCAGTTAACACACAATATTTAAGTCAAATGACTGCTTATACCTACAAATGGGTTGCAATTAGAAAGTCAGCACAAGAATCTGACTTCCATTTCAAAGCATACAGTAACCTTGTCAAAGAGAGAAATGTAACATTTATGGAAAAATTCTCTGATCATCCAACCTCTTGACACTGGCCATCCAGATATCCTTTGTGGAAAATGTGATAATCTTTGCCAACAGCTGTTCTACATTACAGAGTAAGCTATGTGTAATCCATTAACATCATATAGCATCATATTCTTGCCATGCCACTCACTTAAACCTGTTTTAAATTTCTTGGCTCTGATATGGTCATTGACAAGTTAGGGCTCCTCAGAATTCTTGTTTTCCACAAAAAATATATATGCTGCTTTGTCATAATGATGGTAATCTGTGTGTCCCTTACTTCTATTTTTTCCTCCAAGCAGTTTACTGCACACAACATGGCTTGGTATTTTACAAAAAAAAAAAAAAAAGTCAATTAAATTATTATTTTAAAATATTTTAATTCACAAATATATTGCCGCTACAAAGAAAAAAAAGGGTAATAATGATAACAATACATCAAGTACCCCCAATCCCCTGCCCATTGTTGTCATGGGGGGTTTAGGAGATGGAGACTGAGGCCTTGTGCTGGGGAGCTCCCCTATCTTGGGCCTCAGCCCTCAAGTCCACTAATTTTGCTCAGTCTTCTTCATTCCTTTTCTTATCTTTTCCAACTCTTTCCCTGTCCATTTCCTAAGGTATAAGATACATGTTGAAAGGTTGAAAGACCAACTTTATGCCAGTCATAAACAACCTCGGGAAACTATGGGTGCAGTAATCCTTTGGTTGATTGTCTAGCCCTTACCCCTCATGGGGACCCTGAGGGATGGATCTTTTATCTTCTCACATATTTCATAGCCAGTAAAGAATCTTTTATTACTATCTAAGGGGCATTGAGACTTGCCCCTTTATCAGCTAGTCTCTCTGAATCTAATTCCTCTGGTTTAATGACCCCTGTCGCTCCTTTGCTTATGGCTCCAAATATTGCTATTACACCACCTTGACATATGCTTTTAGCTTGACCCATCCCAAATCATCTACCCAGTTTATAACTCTACCTTCAAAAGATGCCCCTTCCTCACTCCCAATATCCTCCAACCCACCTCCTGTACAATCATCTTCTTTTTCTATCTTCTCTCTTATTACAACTCTTCGACTGTGTATTGTGCTCATCCCCACAGTACTATCCCACACCACACCACTCACCTTTCTACAATTCCCACTTCTACAAACCTTTTGAGTACTATCTACCCTGGTTGACCCTACTCCCAACTTTACACCTCTACTCTCCCTATCTCCCAGTCAAATCCTAATTACATTCTAAATCCAGATACCCCCTATCTACATCTACATCCTCTACTCCTTAGATGCCTATTTCCTCTTCTCTTATTAAAAAAAAAAACTTGTTTCCCAAACCTCCAAAATCCAACTTCCCTCCAGAATCCAATGAGAACATCCAAAACTACCTAAGCATAACCCAAGAAAATACTGCTCTCTCTCTCAACCTTCCCCCTGTTCCTCTACCCCCATTCCGTCTACATTCAAAGTGACTACCAACATCCACCCTCTTCCTCCTCATAGTCCCTCCTCTTCCCCCCATTCCTTGCCAACACCCACCT